CCTCCTTAGTCATTGTCCAACTCTGATGCATAACGAGTGATTGCAAAGACCATGGCCTGTATCAGATGCACCTTAGTCTCCAGAGAGACACCATTGCTCTTAAGTACTTTGGAGAGGTCCCTAACAGCAGACTTTCCCATGGCAATACATCTTTTAATTTCCCAGCTACTGGTGCCGAGAGTGTTGACTGTGGAGCCAAGCAAACTAAAGATGTGAACAATCTCAATCTCTTCACCATCCATCCTGATGCTACCAATTGGCCCAGTGGTGAGAATCTTTCTCTTCTTGAGATTGAGCCCCAATCCATATTAGAGGCTGCAGTTCTTGACCCTCTGCAGCAAGCGCTTCAGGTCCTCCTCAGTTTCAGCAAGAAGGGTTGTGTCATCTGCATAACGCAGATTGTTGATACATCTTCCACCAATCCTGATACCACATTTCTCCTCATAGAGTCCAGCCTCCAAGATGATATGTTCTGCATACAGGTTGAAAAGGTATGGAGACAGGACACATCCCTGGCGTACGCCCTTCCCAATTTTGAACCATGCAGTGTTTCCATGCTCTGTTCTGACGACTGCCTCTTGGTCCAAGTATAGGTTTCGCATTAGCACGATTAACTGTTCTGATATTCCCATTCTTCTCAGAGTCAGCCACAGTTTGTTATGATCCACACAGTCAAACGCCTTTGCATAATCAATGAAACACAGATATACATTTCTCTGGTATTCCCTGCTTTCAGCTAAGATCCACCTAACATCAGCTACAATATCCCTAGTACCACGACCCCTTCTAAACCCAGCCTGGGCTTCTGGCAGTTCTCTGCTGATGTGCTGTTCCAGTCGTTTTTGGATAATCTTCAGTAAAATCTTGCTTGCATGTGAAATTAATTATATTGTTCTGTAGTTTCTGCACTCAGTTGGGTCACCTTTCTTTGGGATGGGAACAAATATAGATCTCTTCCAGTCAGTTGGCCAGGTGGTTGTTCTCCAGATTTCTTGGCACAACTTGGTGAGCACATCCAGGGCAGCATCTGTTAGCTGAAATATGTCAATTGGTATATCATCTATTCCTGGGGCCTTATTTTTTGCTATTTCCTTCAAAGCAGCTTGAACTTCTTCCTTCATCACCATAGACTCTTGCTCATAGGTTGTTTCTTGAAATTCTTCTGTGTCTGCCAATTCCTTTCGATACAGTGACTCAGTATATTCTTTCCATCTTCTTTAATACTTCCTGGATCATTTCATATTCTGCCTAAAGCATCCTTCATTATAGCAACTCTAGGTTTGAATTTGTTGTTCAGTTCCTTGAGCTTAAGAAATGCTGAGCGAGTTTGGTGCTTTTGATTATCTGACTCCAACTCCTTGCACATTTCATTGTAATATTTTACTTTATCATCCCGTGCTGCCTTTTGAAATCTTCTATTCAACTCTTTAGGACTGGAATTATATCCTGTTCTTCAGGTGCTTTCTGGATCATCTCAGATGCAGATCATCTTGTCTTCCTGATAGTCTTCATCTAGTATAGTCCCTGCCAGTGTTAAGGTGCAATTCACTGGGACCCTGAGGTCAGAGTAAAACTGCCCCATCATTTCCAAGGCTGTGCATCTTTACAGCACAGCTTGCCACATTGTTCTTCTGAAGAATCGCTGAGGAACTCAAATCATCAACTATGGGAAGCCAAATTTCCTCCAAATATTATATGAAAAACCATATGCTTATTCAGGAATTGAAGGAATTACAAATTTATAAGTTGGAATTTCTCTTGTGACAGATCACAGGAAATGAGCTGTCCCAGTGCAGAGGGAGTGTTAATACATGTAAAATACTTCCTTCCTGAGCTAAAGCATTAGGTTGACAATAAAGAAATATTTCGCTTCGTTTACAAGAAAATTCTCTTTATGATTTATTTCCCTGATTCTCAAGAAATACACAGAGAGGCATGGCTTTTGGTGCTTCAGTTTATTCGAACTGCTGGCCCCTGTCTTTTACACTCTCTGTTTATTAAACATTCTTGGTGTTTTGTCTCGTTATTATTAACATACTTCACCCTCGGTCTGCAATAATCAACTTTTTGGTTAAGCAATCAAGTGCTTTAATACAGCTCATCTAGAACTCATTTTATAGTGTAAGCTAGAGTATTTTAGCATCCCCAGAGAAAGTCCTTCAACAAGATGGACAGACATGGTGACTGCAGCAATGGGATTAAGAGTTTATTAACATGGCACAGGACAGGACAGGGTTCAGGTGTGTTATTCAATGTGAATCATACTCAGCTTAACAGCACCTGGCAACATATGAACTGTCATTTTAAAGGTCAATGATCACCCTTCATGGACTTTGCATCTGTGATACGGAGACCATGGTAGGACTGTAATGAACAAGTTCTGGCAAAGTTCAGGAACTGTCCATTGTTGAAAGAAACCAAACCACATGTACAAGAGAAAAAAAACCCAAAACCAAAACAGTCACAAATCTAGCCCTAGAAAGAAAAATTAAATTCAGATCTATTCCTACAAATGGAATAGAATCCTTCCTATATTGTTCTTGGACCCCACTTGTGGTTTCTTTTCTTGAAATGCCAAGAAGACCCTTCCTGCTCCATGGCTTCTGCTCTTGTTCCCTTTGCTGAAATTACCTCGATCCTCCCTCGTCACACGGATCTCTGTTCAAATATCACATTTGTAGGATGAATTTCCTTCCCACATCATTCCTCATGTATCTATCACATTATCCTATTTTATTTCTCCTGCTTTTTTTCCAACTACCTGAAATTCTTACTAGTTTCCTTAGCATCCATTGCCTTCCAGTAGGATATAAGATTCATGATTCAGGAAACTAGTATTTTTTTCTCAATTAAACCTTCAATGTCTAGTAGAACCCTTGGTTTAATACGGACAAATTTTTGTTTGTCATTGTTGTTATGTGCCATTGAGTCACTTGCAACTCATAGCAATCCTATGTAGGGCTGTCAAATCCTTGCCTCCAAGGAACAGCCTATTGTTAATGAATTAATTTATTCACTCATTATTGTAACACGAACTTAAAATTTTAATCATTATACAGTTGCTTTATTCTCTACTAAAATTTAGCACGTGAAAGAACCCTTTCCAAAGAAATATATGACCTCATAGAATTTTGTTTTAAAAATTAACTTAAGAAGAATTTTCTTTCCTTTCTTACAAAACAAGCTTTTCCTAGACTAAATTTCAAGCCTGTATGTTTTTCATTAAGTAAAATAAATATGGACACTTTTAGACTTACACAGCATTTTTATTAAATATATTTTGTGATAAAGTAACACTCTTAAGATGCTATAAATCAGGTAAGTAAAAGTAATGAGGAAAATACTTAGAGGAAGAAACATAATTTAAATAATCTCACTAAAAACCAAGAACATATCTAAATCTTCATTATAACAAAGCAGTCATCAAAATATAAAAGGAAATGCAATCTCTTATAGAAGAATATATTTGAAAATTTTACCTGTTAATCATTTACTTTAAAAAAGTCTATTCTAAATAATAAGCAGTCTTCCTCATAGCAACCTGTATGTTTTAATCAATGATTGGAAGGAAATTTAGGCTCTTCATTCACACTGAGGTAAGTGACAGCATGTTGGCTGTACAACAGAACAGCTCACTGGCTATAGCCAGGGAAGATACAGAAAGGGCTGGTGCTAAATCAACTCATACAAAAACGAGTCTGAAGGTTTAGATACTCAAGTCATAGAACCATGAACCAAACATTGCAAATTAGAAGGAAGCTTTGGGGGGAAAATCACATAAAAAATACTCTATCCAGGCCAGGAACTTTTGTTCCTTTCTATTAATGGTATTCTGTGGATATATCCTAAATTACTTAGGACTTATATATAGACCAAAATGAAAACCAAGCCATTGTGCCAGTTTGCCTCACATCAACCCTTCATTGGGCTTTGGGGGTTATAAAGTACTAGGGATGCAGCCCATCTTTCTTCCTTAAGAGTAGGTAGTGGGTTTGAACTCTCGACTTTACATTTAGCAGTCCAAAACATACTGCATACACTTCACCACCACATCTCCTTAAATCAAATTTAGCAAGTACAGTTCAAAGCTAATAAAACAGTGTTAATATGTCTTGAGTGCTCTGGTCCATATTTGGTTACAAATTATTTGCAAGGCATCAGTTGACAATTTATTGTATGTATATTCAGAATGAATACTGCTGCAATTTTTTTTTAAAAAATCTAAACACCCATGAATCAGATTTCCACAAACTGAAAGTACTGTACAGGTATTGGGGTTACAGCAAATGCCTCTAATTGACTGATAGCATACTGAGTAGGGAAATAGGCAATTTGGGTCCAAAACATTTCTCTAATGAAATTTCTGTGAACATACATATGTTATATGTCACAGTTAAAGTTTTCTTGTCAAATGAGCATCTGTAAATTATTAATACAGTTAAAATAAGTTTTAAGTAAGAAGTTCCTGCTATGTATACAAGAGAGTGAATTCTGGGGTCTCTTCAAGAGCTCTTCTATATAAAAATGTTTAATAGTAATGAACAATGCCTGCTTAATTGAATTTTTAGATAATATAGAAATTTATAGAAAAGTCAAATTTTTAGACCATTTAGAGGACAAAAATAGAAAGACTGAACTGGTTTATGGCTGAGTATTTATGATCAAGATCAAAATAACATAATACACACAAAATAATCAAAACACAATGCACAGCAAGACCTGCAAAAAAAAGCTTTTTGCACTGATCTTTTTGACCACATAAATCAATGAATCAGTTTTGTTTCAATGAGACATTTAGGAAAAGAATAATTTAATCATGGATTATCAGCTTGGTAATGGACATATTCTATTGATTAGTAAATTAATTATGTTATTCAGAAATGTTGAGAAAGTCTAACTATTATGAATAGGATACTAAATTGCATTAATGAATACATAACTATTTTGAGCATACATACAAATAATTTTATATATGCACTACATTTCAGAATTCTGTAAACTGTGAGGCATTCAACCTGATCAGTGTGGCAGAGTGTTAAATGATTCATTATTTTATTTTGTTCAGTCCTTTTCCCATTAGACAGGCGAACACTGTCATAACCATCTTTGGTTTCACTTCTACCAGGTCATCAGGTAATGCATATATCCGGGCACCAATCTTTCGAGCAACCGAAATGGCGTATCTTGAAAAGAAAAAAAAGAAAGAAATTTTGGTATTAGTCATTTACTTTGTTTTCACTTAATGTCTTAACAAAAGGAGGATATGTTATGGTAAGTAAGATTAACTTTACAAAAAAGGTTACGTTTTTGAGTCTTAAATCATATTCCATTACAAACTGTACTTAGAATGACATTTTAAAAATACGATAACCTTTCTTACTTAGCATTATTCAGCTTGTCCTCATCAGATAATGCTTCTCTTTTGACCATTTCCTGACGAACTGCATTTGGTGCAATGGCATCTATTAAATCTAGGACAGGTAAACTGGTGCTAATAGACTTGTCCTATGGGGAAAAAGATGAGTAGTCATAAATGTCTGAATTTTCATTTTTATAAGTGCCAAACTGTTCTCATTATATCGCTGGAAGTAATCTCTAGTTTTTATTTGTTCCTAAAATTCTGGTTTTCTGTAGCCAGATCATAAACATCATAAACCATTTAAAATATTCTTTCTATTCCATCGTTAGACAGATTATAGTATAGAAAATGGTAACCATCCCTAGTATTTTTGGAAGTAACAATTCCTAGAGTATGATAACTGTAATGTCTATATTATAAAAAATATGTAACTTTGGATAGAAGACAGGACATCGGTAGTTGTATAACTTGTAGGAATAATATATATACTTTTTAGGCCATGAATCCCTAAATTTTCACTTAATAATTTTCAGAAAGAAAAATTAAAGGAATAGAGAAAAGAATTGAAACATTACCAAAAAGCATTGTACCAGTTGTTTTACATGCTTTGATTCTCTTAATCTTCCTAAAAGGCCTGATGATTAAAAATTTGAATCTCTTTTATTTAGAGACAAAAATTTGAGTTTCAGAGAGTTCATATGACTTGTTCACATAGCCAGTAAGAACAAAGCCAATACCTGAATCTATGGACTACTTGATTCTAACACTTAACATTTTATTTTTATATCACTGCTTAGGTGAACTAAAAATGAACAAGAAAACAGCACTGAATTTGTAATCAGAAATGTTAGTATGAATTGATCCTATCATGTACAAGTACTTGAACCAATGGGATAAGCTCTCTCAGCTTGAATACGAATGCTGGTGGCACAATAGTTAAACAATCAGCTGCTGATTAAAAGGTCGCTCTGAGGAAGAGAAGATGTAGCAGTCTACTTCCAGAAAGATTTAAAGCCTTGGAGACTGGAGTTAAAAGCTGATCTTTCAATATGACTTTCCTAGCCATTGTCTAATTTGACCATGTGGATGAGTGTAGGCCTATATCCATAATGGGACTGGCTATCTCACCAATCCACAGGAGGATTTGCGAGTTTCACCAATATACAAGAAGATTGACTGGCTAGTTTCGCCAATAAATTCAGCAGCTCAAGCCACAGAATTAAGCCTTTCCCACAAGCGAAGAAGAGAAGAAGAAGAAGAAGAAGGAAGAATTAACACCTTACTCTCCAGTAGCCAGGAAATTAAAAGACGTATTGCCATGGGAAAGTCTGCTGTTAGGGACCTTTTCAAAGTTCTGAAGAGCAATGGTTTCCCTCTGGAGACTTGAGTGTGTCTGATACAGGCCATGGTCTTTGTAATCACTTGTTATGCTGGACAATGACCAGGGAGGATAGAAGGAGTATTGATGCTTTTGAGCTTTGGTGTTGGAGAAGAGTGTTGAGGGTACCATGGACTGCTAGGAAAACAAACAGATTCATCCTTGAGAGGGTTAAATTGGGCTGCTCCTTGGAGGCAAGGATTCTGAGGTTTCGTCTAACATACTTTGGACATGTTGTAAGGAGGGACAGGTCCTTGGAGAGGGACATCATGCTTGGGAGGGTGGTGGGACACCGCAGGAGAGGAAGGCCCTTTATGAGGTGGATTGATTCAATGACTGGGGTAATCGGGATGGGCGTGTCAGAGATAGTGCGATTGGCGCAGGATAGAGCAGAGTTTAGGGCTGTTGTACATAGGGTCGCTATGAGTCGCAAGTGACTCGATAGCACATAACAACATCAACATAGAGGAAGAGATGTAGGAAAGGGTTGTGTCCTCCCCTGACATGAATTCTTCTACTTAATCACTAAATCTCAGTCCTCAGTTTTAACACCTCTTTTCCTCTAACTTATTGTTCTTGTTATGTGCCGTCCTGGCTACTGGTGCCAAGGGTGTTGACCGTGGAGCCGAGCACACTGAAGCTGTGAACAATCTCAATCTCTTTGCCATCCATCCTGATGCTACCGATTGGTCCAGTGGTGAGAATTTTTGTCTTCTTAACATTGAGCCTCAGTCCATATTGAAGGCTGCAGTCCTTGACCCTCTGCAATAAGTGCATAAGGTCCTCCTCAGTTTCAGCAAGCAAGGTTGTGTCACCTGCATAACACAGACTGTTGATAGATCGTCCACCAATCCTAATGCCACGCTTCTCCTCATAGAGCCCAGCCTCTCAGATAATCTGCTCTGCATATAGGTTGAAAAGGTATGGAGATAGGACACATCCCTGACGTACACCCTTCCCAATTTTGAACCATGCAGTGTTGCCCTGCTCTGTTCTGATGAGCCTCTTGGTGCAAGTATAGGTTTCACATTAGCACGATTAAATGTTCTGGGATTCCCATTCTTCTCAGAGTCAGCCACAGGTTGTTATGATCCACACAGTCAGATGCCTTTGCATAACCAATGATACACAGATAGACATTCTTCTGGTATTCTCTGCTTTCAGCTAAGATCCATCTAACATCAGCTACAACATCCCTAGTACCACGACCCCTTCTAAACCCAGCCTGGACTTCTGGCAGTTCTCTGCTGATGTACTGTTCCAGTCGTTTCTGGATAATCTTCAGTAGAGTCTTGCTTGCATGTGAAATCAATGATATTGTTCTGTAGTTTGCACACTCAGTTGGGTCACCCTTCTTTGGGATGGGAACAAATATAGACCTCTTCCAGTTAGTTGGCCAAGTGGTTGTTCTCCAGATTTCTTGGCACAACTTGGTGAGCACATCCAGGGCAGCATCTGTTAGCTGAAATATGTCAATTGGTATACCATCTATTCCTGGGGCCTTAATTTTTGCTATTTCCTTCAAAGCAGCTTGAACTTCTGCCTTCATCACCATAGGCTCTGGCTCAAATGCTATTTCATTAAATTCTTCTGTATCTGCCAATTCCTTTCGGTACAATGACTCAGTATATTCCTTCCATCTTTTTTTGATACCTCCTGGATCATTTAACATTCTGCCTAAAGCATCCTTGATTGTAGCAACTCGAGGTTTGAATTTGCTCTTCAGTTCCTTGAGCTTAAGAAATGGTGAACGGGTTCGGCCCTTTTGATTTTCCGACTCTAGCTCCTCGCACATTTCACTGTAATATTTTGCTTTGTCATTCCGTGCTGCCTTTTGGAATCTTCTGTTCAGCTCTTTAGTGTCTAGGATTCTTCCTTGTGCTTTGGCTTCTCTACGTTCCAGTGCAATCTTCATAGTTTCTTCTAACTTACTTCATGAAAATTACCTGAAATCTAACATGCTTAAAACAGAACTCATCACTTTTTGAAGAGAACAACTCTACCTCATGAAATTCCCATTTCTGTTGGTGTTACCTGTTTTCCAGCCACTTATGGATTCTGCTAATTTTTCCCTCTCTTGATTCCCTACATAAAGAGGTCAAATCATAGATGTTCTTCTTCTATGCATCCTCACAACTGTCAGTGCTTTTCCTCACTCAGGCCCACTCAGACTTTTTATCACATCACTCTTTGACTGCTACTTGGCTTCCTTCACACTATTCTTGCATTTACACCATTCTTCCTCCAACCCATCCTGGGTCGGTTCTCTGCCCATTCTTCAGAAGCCATTCAGGAAGAAATGATCACTTAGACTTTTCCATGATACTATTTGCTCTATTACTTCATTTATATTTTACCATTTACTCTCTTTTTCATTTTCTTCGAAATGGTGAACACTGAGGGCCAAATCAGTGCCTTCTATCCTGTATCTTTTTTATTGTTCACTTAGAAAAGTTACTTACATAGTAATACTTCAATTAACATTTCTAGATTTCTTCCCCAAACCATTTTCTCATTTTACTTGATACAATATGCTCATTATGTTTAAGGACTTCATATAATTTTTTTTTATGCTGGTTTACTTACAAAGTTCATATACATTCGTGTACATATAAGTTTACTACCATTTTAAAGAGTAAATCTGAATTACAGAATACTTTAGTGAGTTTCATCATGTTTTAAATTTTTAAACTGTGTTTTGTACCTATACATACACAGAGACAAATAATACTCTGAAAATTACTTTTTAGAAAAATAAGCACAATAAGAACTCAATATTATGAACTCTTTCTAAAAGGTAAAAATAGAGTGCTTGAAAAAGGACTCAAGCAGAATCTCTACCAACCACCTGACTCTTAATTGGATTGCACTTTGTTATGTTGCACTTGTTATGTTTCACTGTTTTACAAAAATACAGGCTAATTGCTGGTTTTCCACCTATCATAATAAAATCACACACACAAGGCTCACAAATGAAAAGTGCAAGCAGACATGCTTATTTGAGCTGACAGGGCTTCCATGCAAAAGCCAAACAAACACAATGGAGATGCATGAAAATTAGTGGGTGTATGCAGATTACACTTTCAACGCTTGATGAATCATCCACAAATGCTCAGAAGTGAGTGTTAAGTGCCATTATGAATCCAGATGACAAGATTTTTTTTTCCTACCCGTTTTCTCAATTCCCACTTGAATCAGTTTGGCTGGGTCTGTTATGCCTTGGAAATGATGCCAATACAATTCTGATACTGCCGCTAGGGAGCATAAAACAGGACAGGTCCTGCATAAACAATGACTTTTTAAACAATGACTTTTTAATCTTTCCTTTCCATCTGCAATTGGATTCTTTTGGTTCTATTTCTTTTGATAAGATCATATTACTGAGGCTGCTCACAATTAACCTGTATTTACATGATTTAGAACAATGTAAAAAAGTGAAAATTCAAATCATCTTTGGAGGGGTTTACAAATGCTACATAATTCATTTGCCTACACTCAGAAGTTAAGTGTGGCTGTGATACATTAATATAAATCTTACTGAACCTAAGCCAATGTGATTCCCAATAACAATTCCCTCCTAACTTAGTTTCTTACACTACCCCTCAAAAAAGAAATACTCTTCTGATTACCTTGAAGCTGGAAATAGAAGTCTTTTTGCTTGCATTTTTAAGAGTCTGATTGACCCATTTGATAATAATATCATCATTTACTTTTTCACCTTCTCCAAGATCTGATAGCACATTCAATGTGTACCTGCAATAGGAAAGATACATATTTAAGACACAAATGGGTAAGACTTGTTCTATTATCTTTTCAGTCAGTACTTAGATAAATATTTAAGAGATATTTCAGCTCTAATAAATATTTCTAATTTTAGCCTGGTATTTGTACTTGGGAGACATCTCAAAGTGACAACACTCACTAATTAGAAATTTAAAAAACCATTAGAAAGTATTTTAAAAGATGAAAACAATTTTTTTATACCACCTTGTTGCTCACAGTTAAAAGAAAACAATTTCTTTTGAAGCCGCTTCTAACAGGCATTGATAAAAATGACTATGTTTTCAGAAACTGCTTTATTTTTAAAATAAAGTATGATTTCTAAAAAATAACCAACAGTTAAGTAATTTTCAATTGATATATTTTGTACTTTATAGCTTTGGTATTCATCACTCTTCAAAATAGCAAACAGTTTTATTCAAATAGCTGGCTGAAGGGAACAGATGTGTTCCTATAAGCATATTTTATCAGTTTTTACCTTCTCATTAGCTGCCATACCAGTGCTAGCGTCAGCGTTGCATTCCCTTCATTTAGGTCTTGCCCAGCGATGCCGACCAAAGAGAATTTGGCCTTATTCTTCCCAAGTTCTACTGCATAGTTGCAGTTTTCAATCTATAAGCAGTAAGGAAAAAGTTTTATCTTAAGATAAGTTTTTAATAAACATATCCTCTGAATTCACCAACCAAGTATAATTAATATTTATGACTATCTATGGAATACATAAATATCGGCATCCTAGGCATTTGTGAACTAACATGGACTTGAATTAGTCACTTTGAACCAGACAAACCTATGACTTACTATGCTAGAAATGACAAATTGGAAAAAAAATGGTGTTGCAATCATATTCAAAAAGAACATTTTAAGATCTGTACTGAAATACAATGGCACGAGTGACGGGATACTATTCATGCACATATAAGAAGGCCTGTTAATATAACTATTATTGAAATAAAAACATCAACCAATAAGTCAAAGGTGAAGAAAATTAAGACTTCTGCCAACTTGTACAATCTAAAATGGATTGAAGATGAACCCAAAATGCATTAATAATAATTGGTAAAAGTTGGAAACAAAGAAGAAAGTCTGATAGTTGAAAATTACAGAAGTGTTAACAGAATTGATGCTGGAGGTCAAATAACAGGATTTTGTAAAATTAAGGATTTATTCATCGCGAATGCTTTTTTAAAATAAAATTAAAATGGTGACTATGCATATAAACTGCAACTATAAGGAAGCAACTGAAGTTGAATGAAAGATAAGGAAAACAACTTCAAGAGAACGAAAATATGACCTTGAATTTATCCCACCTGAATTTAAAAACTATCTCAGACTAGATTTGATTAAAGACCAGATGAGTTGTGAGATGGCATCAAGGATAGTGAGAAAGAAAGCAAAAGATCAGTACAAAGATGGAGGAGAAAGAAAAGATCAGAGTGGATGTCGGAAGGGACTCAGAAAATTGCGTGAGGATGCAGCGAGGCTGAAACAAAGGAAAGAAATGCAGACAACACCGATGAACAGAAGATTTCAATAAGCAGGCAGTTGTCAGAACAGAGCAGGGAAACACAACATGGTTCAAAATTGAGAAGCATGTATGCCAGCGATGTGTCCTATTTCCATACCTTTTCAATCTATATACAGAACAGATTACCTGGGAGGCTGGGCTCTATGGGGTGGAATGTGGCATCAAGATTGGTGGAAGATTCATCAGCAACCTACATTATACAGATGATACAACCCTGCTTGTTAAAACTGAGCAGGACCTGAAGCACTTGCTGCAGAAGGTCAAGGACTGCAGCTTTCAATACGGATTGAAGCTCAACATCAAAACAAAAGATTCTCACCACTCGGCTGACTGGCAGCATCATGATAGATGGTGAAGAGATTGAGATTGTTAACAGCTTTAATTTTCTTGACTCCACAATCAACACTCTTGGCACCAGCAGCCAGGAAATTAAAAGACAAACTGCATTGGGAAAGTCTGAAGTCAGAGACCTCTCCAAAGTACTGAAGAGCAACAATGTCAGTCTGGAGACTAAGGTGCACCTGATAAAGGCCATGGTTGTTGCAATCACTAGCTACGAGTCCAGAGAGCTGGACAATGACTAGGGATGATAAAAGGAGAATTGATGTCTTTGAACTGTGGTGTTGGAGAAGAGTATTGAATATACCATGCACTGCTAAGAGAACAAACAGGTCCACACTAGAGAGGGTGAAACCAGGCTGCTCTTGGAAGGCAATGATTCTAAAGCTTCGTCTGACATACTTTGGACATAGCGCAAGGAGGAACCAGTCCTTGGAGAGGTACATCATGCTTGGGAGGGTGGAGGGACAGTGCAGGAGAGGAAGACCCTTGATGAAATGGATTGATTCAGTGACTGGGATAATGGGTGTAGGTAGGTGTGTTGGAGATGATGAGATTGGCACAGGTTTAGGGCTATTGTACATAGGGTCGCTATGAGTTGCAGGCGACTTGACAGTACATAACATCAACAAGAAGCTAGATAAGACAAAGCAAAGAATTATAATGAAATGTGCAAAGAGCAGTTGAAAGAACTGAAGAACATATTCAAGCCTTGGGTTGCAAATACTAAAGGATCCTATGGACAAAATCCTGAATGATGCAGGAAACATCAAAAGAAAATGATAAGAATAGAGAGTCACTGTATGAAAAAAACTTAGTATAAACAGAAATATATTAGGGAGCAGCATATGATCAAGAATCAATTTGAATGAAGAATTTAAAATTGCACTGAAAGCATTAGTAAAAATTAAGGCACCAGAAATTGATAAAATATCAACATAGATGTTTCAACACACAGATGTGCTCACTAGTCTGTGTCAAGAAATGTGGCCAACTTTAAGAGATGCAAATTTATTGGCATTTCTCAAAAAAGGTGATCCAATGGAATGTGGAAATTATTAAACTATTCATTAATATCTCATGGAAGTAAAATCTTGCTGAGGATTATTAAAAAAACTGTCAGAACATGATATGGACAAAGAACTATTAGAAATTCAAGCTGGATTGAGAAAAGGTCATGGAATAAGGGATATCATTGCTGATGTCAGATGGATCTTGGATGGCAGCGGTGAATGCCAGAAAGATGCTAACCTGGGCTTTATTCACTATGCAAAAGCATTCGACTGTGTGCGTAATAATAAATTATGGATAACTGACAAGAACAGGAATCTCAGAACATTTAATTGTGCTCATGTGAAACCTATGCACAGACCAAGAAGCAGCTAGTTTGGACAGAACAAGGGAACACTGCGTGGTTTCAAATCATTAAAGGAGTACATCAGGGTTGTATCCTTTCTCCATACCTATTCAGTCTGTATGCTGAGGAAATCATTCAAGTAGCTAGACTATAAAAAGAAGAATGTGCTGTCAGGATTGTAAGATAATAATGTATCAACAGCCTACATTATGCAGAAGACACACCTTACTTGCTGAAAGCAAAGAAGACTTGAAGCACTTGCTCTAGAAGATTCAAGACTACAGCCTTCAATAGGGATTACATTTCAATATCAAGACGACAAAAAAATCCTCACAAATAGACAAATTGGAAACATAATAGATGGAGAAAAGACTGTAGTTCTTAATTATTCAATTTACATGGATACACAAAAATACCCATGATAGCCGGAGCCAAGAAATCAAAGATGCTTTGCACTGGGAAAATTTGCTGTCAAGGACTTCTCCAAAAGGCTTAAGTACAATGGTGTTAGTTCAAAGACAAAGGGCACCTGATCGAAGCCATGATATTTTCATTGCTGCCTGTGCACCTTAAAGTTGGAGAATGAATAAAGTTGACAGTATAAGAATTGATGTGTTTGAATTGTAGTGTTGAAGAAGAGTACTGAATATCCCATGGACTGCCAAAAGAATAAACAAATGTGTCTTACAGGGAGTTCAACCACGGTACTCATTTGCACATCAGGCAAAGATGGTGAAATCACATCTTACACACTTTGGACGAGTTGCCAGGAGGGTCCAGTCCTTGGAAGAAGACATGACATTGGGAAAAAGTGGAAGGTCAGAAAAAGAAAGGAATATCCTCAACCAGATGGACATAGTGACTGTACCTATGGACTTGGGCGTCTCAGAGACGGTATGGATGGTACAGGATAGGGCAAGGTTCAGATCTGTTGTTCACAGGGTTGCTATGAGTTTTAGTCAACTTCAGTGACACCTAACACCAATGTATATATATGAGCTCTGGTGGCCTAGTGGGTAAGGAGCTGCACTGTCAACACAAAGGCAAGCAGTTCGAATCTGAGGGAGAAAGATTAGCAATCTCCTCTTGTGTAATTTACATACTGGAAGGTCTGTTGGTTCTGAGTCAGTGACAGTGAGTGAGTGAGTGAATGAGTGAGTGAGTATGTTGTTGATTGCCGTCAAGTCGAGCACAACACATAGCAACTCTATGAACAAAAGACCTGAAGCCTTTCTATTATCGTTTCTCCAAGTTCAAAGAGTTTCCAGAGGCATGTGGTTTAGGAAGTGGATGCCACTCTTGCTTGCAAATCTGTCTTAAACTGGGAGCTCCACCAAACACTGTCCACCTTGGGCAACCATTTTGGCATTTGACTCCCCAATGGCACAAGGTTCAGCATCACAGCAAACCAGATTACCACAATATTAATCATCTGGAAAATAATTATAATTCCATTTTAAATTTATATTGTTATCGTTGTTATGTGCTGTCAAATTGACTGAGACTCACAACAACCCATTGCACAATACCTCTGATCCATGTCCTATCCTAAGCCAATCTCACTGTCTCCTACACACTTACCCCCATTACTCTATTACTGACTGTGTCAATCCATCTCATCTGAGGTCTTCCTCTCCTGTGCTTACCCTCCTCCCTTCCAAGCATGATGTCCTTCTCCGAGGACTGGTCCCTCCTAGGAATATGCCCAAGTGAGACAGAGCTTCCAAATAATTTCATTTCATAATAGTTCAGTGAAAGGAAAGAATAATTATTTCCATTTTATAGCTGGGGATGCCAACAAGCACAGAGCCAAAAAAGAGGAGCATCTGGCTAGAAAATTTTCAGGAGCCAAGTGTTCCCAGAAGACTGGATTAACTCACCTCTAAGATCTCTTCGACTACTTAAAGAGCAAACAAATCAGCCTTGGTAGAAGTGCAGCCAGAGTGCTGCCTAGAAGCAAGGATGGGGAAACTTCACCTCACATACTTTGAGTATATTATCGAAGGAGCTAATCTTTGGAGGCGGACATCATGTTTGCTGAAGTAGACAGGGTAAGCAAAGGAGAGGAAGGCCCACAATGAGGCGGATTCACAGGATGACTGCTACAAAGGGCTTCAGCTTGAACTGTGAGGATGGCACAATGAAAACGTATGAACTAGAAGAGGGAAATAATTTCATTAAAAATGTAAGTTCATCTCATGTAATCTTTTGTCTGGATATTACTCATCCTGACCCATTCAAGTTTACTGACGATAACGTGATTAACAATTTTATCTTTTGTTCGAACTTCAGTAATGCTTTCATATGTATATATATTTATACACACACATCATCTTACCCTTAGCTTTTCCTACATTATCTCTTTATAAGATAGGCTCTTTAAAAATGGAAAAGATGGTAACATATAGAAAGCTATCTCACAGCCTCCCACCTTTACCTGGGGACCCCGAACACCATCCTGTCTACAATAACAGGATGAAGGAACACAGAGTAAATTAATCCTATCTACCTACTTCTCATCAGTGACATAAATCCAGTCAAGTCCTTTGGCTGGGAATGTTTTTGTCTACTGTGAGCTACACGTAGGCATGTTATATCTCTACTACATAAACCAGCAAACAGGAAATAAAAAGACAAATTGCACTGGAAAAATCTGCTATCAGGGGCCTCTCTAGAGTACTGAAGAGCAACAATGTCAGTCTAGAGATTAAGGTGCGCCTGATCCAGCTCATGGTCTTCAAAATTACTTGCTATGCATTAGAGAGCTAGACAATGAATAAGGATGACAGAAGAAAAGTTGATGCCTTTGAGTTGTGGAGCTGGAGAAGAGTCTTGACCATACCACGTATGGCCAAGAAAACAAACAGGTCTGTCTTGGAGAGGGTGAAACTAAGTTTCTCCTTGGTGGTAAGGATTTTGAAGTTCCATCTCACATACTTTGGGCACATGGCCAGGAGGGACTAGGCCTTGGAGAAGGGCATCATGCTTGGAAAGGCAGAAGGACAGCACAAGAGAGGAAGACCCCAGATGAGATAGACTGACACGGTAACTGTGGTAATGGGGGTAGGTGTGTCGTATTCAGTGAGATTGGCTCAGGACAGGGCAGGCTTCAGAACTATTGGACACAGGGCTGCTGTATGTTATAAGTGACTCAATGGCACATAACAGCAACAACAATCATCTAGTTACACGTACAGCAAGGTATGCAGAGGATAACATATAACTTGTCAATATCCAGTCACATATTTGCCTGTAGGGTGGGGAGGCCTGGAAGCGTGCCAGAAGGTAGAGTCCGATTGAGTCTGTGGAGTCATCTTTGCCACAGCCTGGCTCCCGTGGCTACCCCTCCTTGACAGCAGCCCTGGAGCCATGGAGAAATTTAGCTCTGCTGTCCTGAGCTTTCTCAGCAGCCAGGCTGTAGCTGCTGCAGCTCAGGCATGCACCATGCACCCTGCCAAGCACCCTGCCAGATAGGGCCTGTGGGGAGAAAACAGATTATGGCTGCTCTGGTTAGTCCTGGCTTCTGATTCCGACCAAATTCGGAGTGTTGCTCGGAGCGCAACCAATTGCATGTACAAATTAGCAAACCCCAAAGTTCTGGGCCCTAACAGAGAAACAGAGTAGTTTGCAAGGGGATTTCTTTGATGTATGTGCATTGAATATATATGCAAATAGATGTGCTATAAATAAAACAGTGTTAGGACAACATAAAAAACCCTGTCCCAAACTCATGGCTATGGAGTCAGTCCTGACTTATAGCAACCCTCCATTGGGTTTTTGAGGCTGTAAATCTTAACAGCAGAGGAAAGTTTCTCTTTCTCTGATGGAGCCACTGGTGGGTACAGACCACTGCCTTTTGGTAAGCAGCACATCACTCTCCTGACAACACAACCAGAGCTCCCATTATAGGATCGGTTCAACATACAAACCGTACAGCACCCTATTTCCCAGAACACATTTCAGACGTGAAGGAGCCCTGTTGGCACAGTGCATTCCGTACACAGCTGCGGGCTGAAAGGTAAGCAGTTCTAATCGACCAGCTGCTTCTGAGGAAAAGCTGGGTCATCACCTCTTTTTAGGATGTACAGTCCGTCTTGTGCTATGCATCACTCAATGTCCCTAGCTAACACTAGTTTCACACTCTGTGAAATAGGATTTTGTTTGATTTGGAGAATATACAAGTATGCATCACTCAATGTCTGCCATATGGTCTGTGAAACAGGATGTTAAATGATTTGGACACAAGGACATGCAGCTTAACCTTCAGGATATGTTTGGTTAAATAGGACACTATATAATATGGAAACTATGGTTGTTGTAAGGAGAGACAGGTCTTCAGAGAGGGACATCATGCTGGGTAGAGTAGAGGGACAGCGCAGGAGGGGAAGACCCTCTATGAGGTGGATTGATTCAGTGACTGGGGTAATTGGGATGGGTGTGTCGGAGGCAATGAGATTGGCACAGGATAGAGCACGGTTTAGGGCTGTTGTACATAGGGTCGCTATGAGTCACAAATGACTCGACGGCACATAACAACAACAAACAACATGGTTGTTGTGATGCTAAACACTGTGACACTGATGTGTCAAATGGTTACCCATGGTGGACAGTGTTTGGTGGAGCTACCTGATTAAAACAAGCTTGGAAGCAGGAGTGGCATCCATTTCCAAAACAGCTTGCCTCCAGAAACACTATGAACTTAGAGAAACGATGATAGTTATACAACAGTGTTCAATGTTTTCTTTCATTCATAGGGTCACTATGTGTAGTGACTTAATGGTACTTAACAACAACAGTGCAAACATTATATTAAAATTTAAAGGCGCTTGCTCCCTATGGTCCTTGTTATTGCTGCTGCTGGTGAAGGCTGGAGGAGTGGTCCTCAGCTGAGCGGGCGGGAAGGTGGATGTGAGCAGGGCGGGTAGGTCCCGAGCCCTGCCATTGTTACAGCCGCCTGAGCAGTCAGAGTAGCACAGCACCTGCAGCAACTGCTGTTCACCTGCCTGCGTATCATAAAAAGCCCAAGTTCCAGAGACCTATCCGCTGCAACTCCATCACTTATATAAAGTGCTTAACAACTGCTGCCTGGAATAAATAAAAAACAGCAAAGAAAAACCTCAAAACTATTGTCATTGAGCCAGAGCAACTCACAGCAGTCCCTGCGGTGGGTTTGCCGGGCTTTGTGTCACACAGGAGGAGACTGCCCATCTTTCCTCCAAGGTGAGGCTGGCAGATTCTAATTGCTTACCTCTGGGTTGACAGTGCAATTCCCCATTGATTATGCAACTAGAGCACCATATACTATTTTTATAGATTGCAGCACAGCTTCTTACTGTTGGACCGCCAGAGCTCCCTAGGATAAAAATAGTAAAACCTTTTTCCTGACTTATTTGCTCAAAAATTAATTGTAACCTCAGTATATGACAATTCAACCTAAGACAGGTCAACATTTTCCAAGAATTAAAAAAAAAAAAAAGCTTTTTCAGGAAAGCTGAGAAATAGATTGCACAATGGCAGAATCTGCCCAAGTGAAACGGAGTATTATTCCTTATAAAAGAGAATCAGCATCACCACAGTTCTGAACAAAGATGAAGATTATTCCTAGAACATGTAACATACTCCTGATTGCCCTATTTAATATGTTAAAGAAAATCTTTGATAGATATTTATGTACTAAAATGCAAGATAACATTCCAAAATTCATTCTTCTAGTCCCAGTTACCCCCTGCTGCTAGGTTGATTCCCACCAAGGGCAATCCCAAGCATGTCAGAGCAGAGCTGTGCTGCATACAATTTTCAGTCACTGCTTTTTTATAAAGGTTACCAGCTCTTTCTCCCAAAGGGATTCAGCAGAGTTTAAACCATAAAACTTCTGGTTAGGAGCTAAGCACACCAACCACTCAGAGAGTCTACCTTTTCCTAAATCCCTGGTCCCCTCGAGTTTCTTCCTCTGGCAAAATTCTATGCATTTCTTAAAGTCTAACTCACAAGTCAATTATTCTACGAAGCTCTTCATGTTAAGGGTAATCTGTGGTCTGGTCTACTCTTCTTTGGAACTCCTAATATTCACTTATACTCACAAAAACTGGCACTGCACTGTAGCTGCACAAATATTTTATTCCTCTTAAACTGGGGGCATAGTGGTTAACGTGTTGGTCTGCAAACCAAAATGTCAACAGTTCAAATCCACTAGCCTCATTATAGCAGCAAGATGAGCAGTCTCCTCTATTAAAGTTTTACAGCCTCAGGAAGCCCACAGAGGGTTGCCAGGAGTCAACCTGGATTCGACAGTGGGGAGTTTGACTTTATGGTTTTCTGAGGATCAAACTACGTTTTCTTTTCTTTTCTTTCTCCTCCTCCCCATCTTTCACTGCATTGTAACTAGACACATAACTATCTGCTGAAAAAAGTGAATGAATAATCACAGAAAGATTTGGCATGTTTGAGCGACTTATAAGAATACATTCTATCCCAAAGGCACACGGTTCAAATCCTCCAGTTGCTCCACTGGAGAAGGAGGTGTCATTTTCTCCTGTGCCAGGAGGACCCAATTCTGTAACTTGCTGTTGTAATAATATAATGTCTGGGAGCTTAATTTTCATTAAGCAAATATGAGCTAAATGTTGTTAAAGCAAATATGAATGAAGAAACCTCACTGTCACTGGCTCAGAAGTGATGCAGAGCTGCCTCTCCACTGAGTTTCTGAGGCTGTAAATTGCATGCTAGGAGATGGTGCACCAAGCCACCAGAGACACAACCTCTGCATGACCCATGTCATACCCTACAGATGATGCCATCAGAGCCATAAGAACTGTGGGGACAGAGATCATAATTTCTCAAGCTTTATGAAACTCTAAACCCTCTTTTATATAAAAAGCAGTAACATATCCAGGGACAGCATCACAGTCACCTTCTTCATGTTCCCTCCAAGGGCAGGATAGGGAGGCTTGTTGACATGATTCCAGTTGACTGGCACTCGGATCATCTCATAGAGTTGAAAGATCACTAGGGCATCAGCAAGGTCACTAGAAACAGGAAAGGGAAGTAGATGGAGGAGGAGGAAATGGAGAAGGGTCATTAATGCTTAAGGAGTTACAGGACCTAACATCTGACCCAGAACTTCCAATCTAGGCATCTGTCAATACGTTCTCCTAAACATTTACAAAGATATGTAAATACACTGAGTATAAGTACATTTGTCATAGTCTTTATGAACTTAGAAGTTAACTTAAATATCAGTGCATAAACCATCCATCTGATGAACTCCTGGGTGACCAGTGGGCAGGTATTTGTATGCACTGACATGAAAATTTTCTAATACACAGTAAACGTAAAAAACGAAGACATTTTATTTGATCCATTTATTAAAATCAGAGAGAAATATGTGATAAGAACCATTCAAATCAATTACAGATAGACAAAAGTAACAGGGAAGTGGTGAGGGAATGCAATGCTTTATACTTTTGTTTTATTCCATAAATTTATATACTTCTTTGAATGTCTATAGTGAAATTAAGATATTGTTTATGTATTATTATTTTTCCACCTTTAAAAAAATAACTATAGGAAAGTCACAATAGCTATCAAGCAAACAAAGGTTAAGAGGCTAGAGTTTGATGGTACAACCACAACTTTCTCTAAAAGTTGGAAATATGAGTACTATTTGACCCAACAATTCCTCTACTGGAAATATAACCTATATGCACACCATGTTTACTGCTGTATGATTTACAATTGCAGAGGTCAAAGCAACCCAAATGCCCGTCAACAAACTAATGGATAGAAAAACTATAGTACCTCCACACAATGGAATAGTATGCAGCCCTGAAAAGCAATGAACTCGTAAACTGTAAACAACATAGGGGAGCCTGGACGACATTATGCTGAATGAAATATCTGAGTCACCAAAGGACAAATACTACATAACTCTGCTATTAAAAAATAGGGCTGCCATGCAGGGTGGAGTGAGAATTAGAAAAGATAAATAATAGATGAGGGCAAGAATGGCCCGAAAGGAATAGGCTCTTGTTATTTTGTATGATCAAGTCCAGAACTGACCCAGAGCTGACCCTCTAATGAGTTTTCAGTAGCAGTTAATTGCACAGGAGGAGACTGCCCATCCTTCTCCTGAAAAGGAATATCTGATTATATATAATATGTATGACAACAATCTGGAACGAGAGGTACAATGCAAAGTGGACTTGGGGAGTAGGGAGGGCGGGAGAAGGGAAAGGGAAGAAAATATACAACAGTGAATGATATTTTTTTTTTTAAAAAGGCGCCAGTTCATGAACTCATGAAGTGAGGCAACTACTGCTGTGGATCAAAAAGAAACCATGTTCTTCTGAGAAGGTCAAAGAATCTCTGTAGAGACTATTATCAATTCTGTGTACTAATTCTGTATAAAGCTATAGCAATTGATTTTATAATTGCCAGTTCTGTGATGCAGTATTTACCTCCCCACCCCAGCAGCTTGTCTGATGTTTTATACTGTGAAGATTGATATTTAAGTTACTTCGCATTCTCTGAGCACACACCATATGGCACTGAAGGGAAATGGCTGAGCACTGAGTGATGAGGGAGAAAGTCTAACATAAAAGGAATTGTGAGCTAACTAGGAGATCTCTATAAGCATACAGAGTATGTTGTTTATGTGCTGTTGAGTCACCCTGAAATCTGCTCTATCCTGTGTGTCTCTGACACACCTACCCTTATTACCCTAATCACTCAATCAATCCATCTCATTGAGGGTCTTCCTCACTTACACTGTCCCTCCACTCTCCCAAACATGATGTTCCTCTCCAAGGATGGTCCCTCCTTGCAACGTGTCCAAAGTATGTCAGACGAAGCTTCAGAATCCTTTCCTCCAGGGAGCAGCCTGGTTTCACCCTCTCTAGCAGCCCATGGTTATTAAATACTTTTCTCCAACATCACAGCTCAAAAGCATCAATTCTTTTTCTATCATCCCTAGTCATTGTTCAGCTTTCTGATGCGTAACAAGTAATCACTAAGACTATGGTCTGGATTAAGCGCAGATTAGTTTCTAGACTGATGTTGTTGCTCTTCATTTCTCTGGAGAGGTCCCTGACAGCAGCTTTTTCCAGTGCAATTTGTCTTTTGATTTCCTGCCTGATGATACTAAGAGTGCTAACTGTGGAGCCAAGCAAACTAAAGCTGTTAATAATCTCAATCTCTTCACCATCCAACATGAGGGCTGCCAATAAGCCCAGGGGTGAGAATATTTGTCTTCTTGACACTGAGCTTCAATCCATATTGAAAACTATAGTCTTTGACCTTCTGCAGCAAGCACTTCAGGTCCTCCTCAGTTTCCACACACAGGGTTGTGTCATCTGCTTAATGCTGACTGTGGATGAGTCTTCCTCCAACCCTGATGCCCCACTCCTCCTTACAAAGCCCAGGCTCCGGGATGATCTGTTCTGCCTATAAAGTGAAAATGTATGGAGATAGGACACATCTCTGATGTACACATTTTCCAATTTTGAACCATGCACTGTTTCCTTACACTGTTCTAATGACTGTCTTCTGGTCCACATATAGGTTTCGCATAAGCACAATCAAATGATTTGGGATTCCCATGCTTCTCAGAGTCAGCCACAGTTTGTTGTGATCCACACAGGCAAATGCTTTTGCAAGTCAATGAAACACAGATAGACATTCCTCTGGTACTCCCTGCTTTCAGCCAAGAGCCATCTAACATTAGCTAATATCCCTATTACAATGGCCTCCTCTAAATCCAGCCTGCACATATGGCAGTTCTTTGTTGAAGTATTGTTCCAGTTGTTTTTGGATAATTTTCAGCAGAATCTGGCTTGCATGTGGTATTAAGGATATTGTTCGTTAATTTCTGCACTGCCACGTCATCTTTCTTTGGAATGGGAACAAATACAGATTTCTTCCAGTTAGTTGGCCAGGTGGTTGTTCTCCAGATTTCTTGGCACAACTTGGTGAGCACATCCCAGGCAGCATCTGTTTGTTGAAAAATGTGAATTTGCATACTGTCAATTCTTGGGGCTTTGTTTTTTGCCAATTCTTTCAGAGCAGCTTGAACTTCTTCCTTCAACACCACAAGCCCAGACATTGTTTCATTAAATTCTTCTGTGTCAGCCAATTCCTTCTGATACAGCAACTCTGTATACTTCTTCTATCTTCTTTTGATGTTTCTTGGATAGTTTAATATTCTGCCCAAAGAATCCTTAAGTATGTCAATTTGAGGCTTGAATTTGTTCTTCAGTTCCTTCAGTTTACACAGTACTGGGGGAATTCTGGCCTTTTGATTTTCTGATTTCAGCTCTTTACACATTTAGTTATAATACGTTACTTTGTCTCTCTCTCCACACTGCCCTTTGAAACTTCTACTGTTCTTAAGAAATAAAAAGTAATCATTGAAGTATTTGCATCACCCACTGACATCAGCTACTCCTATGTCAGTTCCAGCTACAGAGACCCAACAGGACAGAGGAGAAGTGCCCATGGGGTTTCTGATGTATAGAAGCGGACTGCCTCATCTTTGTCCCATGGAGAGGCAAGTGGGTTCAAACTGTCCTACCTTCTGGTTTGCAGTGACAACAGAGCTTTGAAGTATTTGCAAAGGTTCTGAAGTGTCACCTAATTTGTGATTTTTACTGAAAAAATTTTAATTTATTCCTATGTCTATGCTCAAAAAAATAAGAGAGATCAGTAAGACAGCCCTGCTGACATCACTCTAAAATCAGGATAAGATGGACTGACTCAGTGACTGGAGAAATGGGATTATATCTGTAGGAGACGACGAGACTGGCTCAGGATAGGGCAGGGTTCAGAGCTAATGTACAAAGGGTCACTAGGAGTTGCAGGTGACTTGATGGCACACAACAACAATGCTGACACTGAGTTCTTAGTGACCCTCTGCTGAATCTCCAAGGCTGGAAGCCACAACAGAGGAATCAGGCATCTTCCTCAGAGCTGCTAGTACATTCTAACCACAGGAGACACAGCCTTCCAGTAAGCAGTGCACGATGCAACAGACTACCTCACTGGAGCTCCAGAATGGTATTTTCATTTATATTTTACAAAGTGTAAGCTCCAATAGTGGAAATGACTTTAGAGATGTCAAGATGACTTTCAAAACCGTCTCGTTGTAGAAAAAAAAATTCTTAGGGCTGACAGTATATAATAATGTTTCTGAAGATGAGCATTTTCCATTACAATAAATATAATTTATTCTAAAGTTTTGTCTTAGGGTAGACATGCTATAGCTGGGAAGCTCAGATGCTTAGAAATGAGTTTAGATATGATTCAGCCACAAACTCAGGGCTGCATGGTTCTGCTGCCAACTAGATTTCTGGCTGTGGTTTTTAAAGAAAGGAATTCTTTTTAAGATTATCCTTTGACTGTGCTAGAACTTTAGGATCCATGTAACTATGATATCAACTAATCTGTAACTAAAAAATTCTCTTCTCCCCTAGCAAGCAATAGTGAGCTCTAGCTATCTTGATAGTTATGGGTACCATGCGTCTCTTTTTAAATAAATCATAAAGTCTTAATCTCCTTTTTGAAATTTACTTTCTAATTGTGGAGCCCTGGTGGCACAGACAGTAGGGAGCAGTGCTGCTATAAGCGAAAGGGGTAGGTATCTCTCTGACAGTTCAAATTCACCAGTACCTACGCAACAGAAAAGGACAATCTCCTCCTGTGGTATTCCAAACCCTTGAAAACCCCCGGCGGGGCAGCAATGAGTCACTTCTAACTGCGTGGCAATGAGAGTGTTTTTTGTTTTGTTTTGGGGTTTTTTTGTTAATTTTATTTTTTAAGTATTTTTATTGTCTATAGTGTGCATACAGAATTCATACACATTGTGTTTCATTCCTATTCATCATATTTCACTCACTGCCCCATTCACACTGCTTTTTATACAATCACTTCCACACATGTTGTTGTTTTTGTTATGTGACGTCAAGTTCCTGTGACTCATAGCGACCATATGTACAACAGCCCTAAATCCTGCTCTATCCCTTGCCAACCTTAT